ATATTGCATTAGATTTCCAATACTCGTGGTATGTTTTTCCATCTTTCACAGATCAAGACTTCATGGGCTTTTTAGATGAAAAATTATCAATACAAGATGAAGCATCAGCAAAAAAGCAGTGACACATTGCCAACATGCTCTTGTTCCCGGTGCCAGCATCAATAATTCAGCCACTAGCTCATAACTTTATTTTCAATGCATAATTGAGGCCAACCAATGTTTTCTTCAGCCATTTATATGTCGAGCAATTTTTAAACAATAAGAGGAGCGGTCCATTAAGCTTTTAACATCTTCTCCTTTTCATACTCCAGTAGAAAGGGAAAGTATGGGCCGTGGGGCCTGCTTCACCCTCTTTGTGCTCAGCAGTGTGAGAGGTGGGGGGTGTTTTCAGGTGTTTTCTTTCGGAAGTCATAGCTGTAAGCATGAAAGTCTTAAAGTGATAACTGTGGGAAAGCTGTGGTGAGTAAATGAAAAAGTGTAGACTCCACATTTAAAAAGTGTGGTTTGGAAAGGAAGGGGGTCTCAGGGTGAGGTGAGGTTTCTGTACCTGCCTTTGTGTGAATGTGCTTCTGTGTGTGCAGTGCATGGGTATGTGTATGAGTGTGTGTGTGTGTGTGTGTGTGTGTGTGTGTGTGTGTGTGTGTGTGTGTGCCAAGTGATTTACAGTTTGTCTTATTGATTTTTATTAGGATAGTAATTTTGTGGATATCTGAGTTGCCTGTAGGTATAATTTTTTGCATTGCAGAATGCTGCTTTAAAAGGGCCATCCTCCATCCAGTGACTCATTATATTACCTGATTACATTGCTCATGTGTTTTGTACTACTGCTTAATAAATATTGATTTACTATTTTAATTACATGTTAATCTCAAAACACATAGGTGCCAGGGTTATGACTCTCTCAAGTCATAGTGCAAATTTCCTGTTTGCAAATATTTATTGAGGATGGCATCCTGAGAGGGCTATAAAAGTGAATGGCAATCATTAAACAGAGACTATATGTCTACAATATCTGCACAAGTGTCAATATCAGCAATACAGGTTGACCCAGCGACAAATCAATTACTTTTTTTTTTTCAAAAGCAATAATGATCAGGGCTCACACACACAAAGAGAAATAAATATAATTTCTACTACAATCTTATTTTCATCAACAAAGGATGGGGAGACCTGTTACATATGAATCCCCGACCATCTCACTCTTTCAAATGCTCTTTGTTGTAACTGGTGGTTTAAGAATAGGAGTCTTAATGCAGCCTAAATTGCTTTCCAGACGGTGGGGGCCAAAGGTTATGTGAAAACGTTATGACTGCCTTTCATAAACTCCAATCTAAGGAGAGCACTTGGACTCTTCTTTTTTTGGGGGGGGGGATAAAACATATCTAAATTTATGATTATCACATTAATTTAGATAACCATTATCTATGTTCTATAGCTCTTGTGAACTGCTTGCTATCGCCGCACTAAATTATTTCCCAAACTGATTGCTTTGTGAAGCGTAACTTACCAATACACCGGAGGGAATGTTACAGACTTTGCAGGAAATCAAGGCCAAGAGCGTTAAAATGGGGCCAAATAATGTAGCAGATCACTGGAGCTATTTTATTCTTTCTGCAAATTGCTTTATCTCCCACTGGCATTAAAATATGTCATCATAACTAATTTGACAGCAGTGTATTAATGAAAGATCATACACTGACACACTGTTGAATCCAGTGATTAGCTACAATAGGTGACTGGAGAAAGTTTGTCTTTGGGGGCGTTACATGTAACCTCTAACAGAGGATAGGTAACCATGCACCCTAGAAAGCCAAAATAGCTCATAACAGTTTTTGTTAAATAACTAAATAACCACATGAAGGGATTTCCTGTACTTTGCTTGAAGCTGTCATGATCACCCTTTTCCCCAATTGCATACTTTAATGTACACTAATTCAAACTGTAGTATTATGTAATAGTGTGAAGTGAGTTCAAACTATAAAAATTACAAAATACGTAAAAAGCCGGCATGAATACTAAAATTGCTTTGTTTTTTAGTGTGGACCGAAGTGTAACGTCATAGCTTGGAATATAGGGCTGCACAATTATTTGACATATTATTGAAGCTGCAACATAGCAAAGTGCAATATGCAAATTGCAGAAGCTGCAATTTTTTGATGAAGGTAAAATGTGTGACAAAACAGAATTAGAAAGAAGTACTGTAGTGCTGCAGAGATGCCCTGGCCTACAAATCTTGTTCTCCTGATTAAAGAAAACATGTCTGTTCATGATCAGTCAAAATAAAATGTGTAATGCAAAAATGAATATTCCCACACTAATTGCGAATAATATCCTAATTGCAAAATCTGTAAAAATAATCGCAATATTTTGTTTTTACCATACCATGCAGTCCTATTGGAATACATAGGAAATTAAAAATTAGATTTGCTTCATTTCTTGCATTGAATGCAAAATATGCAGTACTTTACTGAAATCTAAAGATAGTATACAATGAAAACCTGCAGACTCTTGGACCTGTCATGTCATACAACTGCTGGCTATGAGGTTATACTACAACAATGAACCAGCAATGAAGAGTTTAGTAGGCATTGCTCCCTCCCTCCTCTCTTTCAGTCTTGCTCCCTCCCTTCCTATTACTCTTGCTTTTCACTCACATTCCAAATCATTCCATCACAAAGATATATTGAAACTGAGAAAGCATTAAGATGATTGGGAAGCTGAAATGTTAAAAGGGAAATACTATCCTTTTTGCATGGAAAAGTCATAAATGAGGAACAGTAAGCAATATCATTTTAATCTCATCTGGCCTAAACAAAATGGACAGTGTGTAGAATATTTACTATAGGTAGGAGTGTGCAGGAGAGTGTGTTGTGTGTTTGGGAATAATCCGTGCAGCATGTAGTGTTTGCATGGTTTATTCCTGACATCAAAGTTGCTGGTTTAATTGAGCCTGTACTGGACCCAGAGCTGAGAGAGCAGGCAGAGGAGCATCGATAAACTATGAAATGGTTCCAATATGGCCAATCGATGAGGCTTTGTGAGCAGCTCCCTTGGGGCTTTGATTTTCCTCTCAAACAACAATCCAGGACCCCTGTTCTTCAAAGGCAAACTCCATCTTTGCTGTTATTGTGGTTGTTGCTTCTCCATGTTTGAGTGATGTCACTGAGGTCGATTTTATCCATGTCCATAAAGGCTCTCCCACACTTGAATCACCCGGGAGACGGCTTCAGTTGGTCTGTGCAATGGTAACAACAACCAATAAAGGTCAATCTCCCATGGTAATGGCCAATTGGGTTTGTTCCCATTATTGGCCCTCTGAGCAGTGGTCAACAGATGGAGAGCTGGCATCACTGACACAAGTTACACTCCAACCTTAAGGAGCCATGGCTCTAGCTCTAAGCACTGTTGTGTTGTTCCACTCTCTCTCTCCCCCTTAGCTTGTGTTGGCCTGTACATCACTCCATCATGTGCAGCTCCTGTATAGGGAGACCCGTCACAGTAGCGTCACAGGAGCGCTGCCAGTGAGGGCTAACCGTCTAACCATTTCAGCTAATTGCCTCATTAATGATTCACCGGTGTTAGGCTGCTCTAGCACTTCGCTGTGGGGAGCAAATTGTTCTGATTGGTTTGTCTCTGTCAATTATTGATGAAGCAGTGAGCTGAAGTGCTAACACCTGGCTTTGGAGGTCCAAATGGCCCTGCATTCCCATCACATACTCTGTTATTACACACCCTGGGACCACATTCAGTTTTGAAGGGCTGGACTCTTGACTGTTGCTGTTCTCCGAGAGTGGATGTAGCATGCCCCAGGGCAATGGCTGTGATCTCAGTTGTGAGGATATTAGCTCATAGAACATGGCTCACTGCTGCGTAAAATGTGGACAAAACAGAGACGTATAGCTTTCAGTGATTTGGGCTGTCAGCGATGGAAGGCCAACAGAGACAATGTCACATGAAGAGGGGCCACTTTATGTATCTGTGTGTGTTAATTCCACAAAATAACAGTAATATGGGAAATAACTGTTCATATTACTGTGATAACAGTGGGAATAAAATGATAGTCTTGACTATATCTTTTATCAACACATTGCACATGTTGTCTCTGGCTCTATCCGTGTCTTCGGGAATACTAAAGTCGCATTAGTTGAATATAAAAATGAAACATGTTATGACCATCTTTGGGAAAAAATGGGTGTGTACGAGATAATAACTTCAGATTTTACAGGAGTGAGTGGAACTGTAACGGTATGCAATGCAGTGTCAATACTTGCTTTGTTTATGGTGATTTATAATGGGTGCAGCCTAGGCACCTTTACAGTAGGGTCATGTAATTGGATCTCCAGTAGATAGTAGCTGAATTCCACTATAGTCTCTGTGTCTAATGGCCCACCCACAAAGCGGTCCTTCTGGCTACATGAATCATCCTTACACAGAGCACAAACTGCTAAGGGGTCTCACCAAACTTTTTGTATTTAAAGACACAAAAACAGCATAAAGAAGAGTATTCTTATGTTTTAATGGAGTAAAACATGAAGAGATTAAATAATGTAGTTGGAAGTAACCTCATGCTCACTGAATTTGCTCATCTCTCCTTGGCCTTAATTGAAGCTGATTAAAGAGTCACCCCCCATGCTGACGCCACTGTCACTCTGAATCTCAGCCAAGTGGGCTTGCCATGTACACTCACAGGGTGGTCACTCTGCCTTTGTTTTAACACTGGCACCAATGACAGCAGAGCCCACCCCACCCCCCCAAATACAGTGACTGTGACTCACTGCGTGTCACCATAAACCCTGTATGAGGGGAGAGAGCGAAGACAAGGGTCACAATGTAGACTTCACTCACATTATATGTATGTGTGCATTCATGGAAGTACTACACTAAAGTATGTGTGTGAATTGTGGTCTGAGTCACACTTTAATGACTTCTTTTTCTTTTCCTGTCCAACCACTCCTCTCCTCTCCTCTCCTCTCCCCCCACCTTTCTCTTTCTGTTAACAGATAACCCAACGACTGAGCAGTGATGACGTCAGAGCGGCTGACCAATCGCACGAAGACACCTACAAAGCACAACATTCAAAAATGATTTCACAGAAGAACAGACGAGACCTGCTGAAATCCCTCAAAATCCCTACAGTGAAATTCTTGAAAGCCTCTTACTACTCCTGTTTCCCTCCCTGATATTTTACCTCCAGCTTTTTTCTACGAAACACGAAAAACAAAAAAAAAACTAAAAACAAAAAACAAAACAGACAGACTCATGCTTATGAGACGGTTGACAACGCCAGATAAATACACTGGATGGACTATTTTCTCTTTGGCGGGAAGATCATTGATGCATGCTTCTGTAAATAGATCATACAACCCTAGTCTTATCCCTAATATAGGAAACATACCGAGTCGCTCTCACCAAATTCATAAACCTTCATGACTGTTCAATATTTTCCATGACTCAGTATTCTTACCTCCTCAGAGACCATGTAATTATCATTTCCAATATCATTTCTCTACTCTTTGGAGTTACTTGGACTGTAAAAATTGTACTTCCTATTCTTCTTATTCTCTTTACATAACGGCCTAGTCTTCCTCTCCAATATCCACATTAGTACATGTAAATAATGATGAATGAAGACAACAGCATGGAACCAACTATAGTGTATATTTACCACTCCCCTAGTAGATCACAAATCTCAATATGTGGATATTTCAGACAACCTTTTTAAAAGTTTAAAATACTTGAACTTGTTTTCTGGTAGTTAAAGACATAGTCCCAGGTATCTGAACACTTTTCCTATGTATTTGAATAGATGCATAAAGGCGTTAGCTATAGACAATGTTATTATTTGACTACCTTAAAAGAATTAGAGGGCAGAAATTTCTTTGATATCATCAATCAGTTCAACCAGGAGACAAACGGTCAAACCGAGAAAAAGCAGGCAATACTCCCAAGCCATGAGCCTACCTTGGCACTTATAAATATTATTTTTAGCATTTGATATTTTATTTTATATGATTGTTTACAATTTTCTCCCAATATCTACCTACTGTATTTATTCTTTCCCATGGCAATAATTGCCCTCTCCCTCCCCATGAGCGGGTGGTAACTGCTGTAGCAAAGCTGCTGTCAGCCTGAGAGGGCCTCTTTTTTTATTTGCATGGTTTGAAACGGCGCTCCGATCCTGAGCCAACACATGAGGGAGCACCTCACTGATCGCAATGTAGACATGAGAACTTTGACCTCCATCTTCTATGGACTATGAAGATAACCAAATGGACTGACAGATAATATGCCAAGCCAATGAACAGACAACCTCAAAGGTTACCCCATCCACTGGTGAAGACTGAAAAACCTTTGCATGGACAACAGGGAAAATACTAGGTTGTTGAACACCTCATCACCACCACCGTGCATCCTCTACCTCATACTCAGTGTGTGTTGTGCAACCCAGAAAATCATGACTTACAGTGACCCCTCTACTGTCCCCACAGTCTACTTGTCCGCTGCATGTCCCTAGAGCCTCATGAGGAGAGTGTGACTCAGCGTTGAATGCTACTGATGGACGCACATGGCAACGGGGAAAACAAAACAAACACTTGTTCACCTTGACACAAACAAACTCACACATACAAGCGCATGCATACAGATGCACAATCATACACAGCACCACTCAAATATGTTGCTGTATATATGTACAGTATATCCACTATTTATAGTCTCAGATGCTGTACTTTGCATGTTTGACTTGTAGATGGAACGTGATCATTATTCATAGAAGAGGTTGTGCAGGTAGGCCTAGTCACTGGATTGACTTTCTAAATCAATGCAAGCTTAACATCTCCTTACTTTGATTTGAGAAAATGCATCGTAACATGACAGAAATAGTTTTACCGCCCCGTTCCCATTATGAAAGATCCCCTTTGGCCAAACAGCAGTGCTGATAGGTTTTAAACTCTTTGAAGGGACACATAACCTCGCCTTTGATGTCAGACAGAACCTGGCCACAGTGAGCGCGGATAGGAGAAGAGAGAAGGGAAGGCAAAATGGGGCGCTCCAATTAAGTGGCAGTGCACAAAGTGGCATGGGGCATCCTGCCAGCAACTGTCCATTCATCCTATGTCAAAGGGATTTGCACATCTCAATGAGTCTACGCACTGCCAGAGAAGTCCGAGAACAGAGCAAAGAAAGAAAGCGAGGCTCAGGAGAAAGTATGAAAGAGAAAAATACTATTTTGACAAAAATTTAAGGTTGTACTGAGCTTATGCGTTTTATTAAGTATTCTCCTGGTCTTTCCACCTATAGAATATTATTTTCTGTCCAGCAGCCACCTTGGAGAGTTTAATTACTCCTTAACTTCAAACTGTTAAAGCGTCATACAGCTCTCTGGGCTGTCATGACCTCACGTCCTGTCTGAGGTTAAGTTTGTGTTAATGAGCATGGCCCTTAGCTCAACCAGATGTTCAGCTTTGTGGTTAAATACTTGTAACCCTTCTATCCCAATGATTCTTCAATGCCTGCCCACTACAGCTGTACTAGAAATTAGAAATTAGATTAAAACTCGTGTGTTTTTACTGAAAACAATAAAACTGATCCAACTCTTGTCAGTGAATCCTATATGCTGTACCAAGAAAGATTTTGTCATTTTAGAATACAGGCTCTGTAGATGACTTCATTTGTGCAGTCAATTTATATGAAGAAATCTTCCTAATTTAAATACTGTCAGAGCACACTGAATCACATGAGGGTATTTACAGTCAACATGTAAACAAACTAGAAATTAGGACTTATGACTTAGCCATGATTAGTTAAAGAAGATTTAAAATACAGGAAGGATGAAGGTGTCACTCAAATATGAGACGTTGTATGTGGTAGGAAACAAGACATTGAGCAAGTGCTGATCTTCTCTGAGCCTCAACGCTTTCTACTTTCTTAGAAGTCAAACAAAGCCCCATTTCTGCGCAGCTGCAGGCAATGTGTGACAGACTGATTTGTTTTTCTATGCGTTTGAATGCAAATACTGTGTTGTTCTGCCCTGACAGTCAGGCAGCATGTGCAAGTCTATCTGGCAATGACCCTGACCAGGGTCAGTACATGTACATAAACATGCATAGATGCACATGTTCATATAAAGAATGTGTGAAAGTGCACAAAAATGCATAGAAGCGCATCCTTGCTCTTACTCTCTCTCTCTCTCGCACACACACACCATGCTAATCTAAACAGCAAGGCTGTATGTAAACAGATCGTCTACATAATGGGATTGTTCAGTGTGCAAACAATAAGCTGTTAGCGTAATCACAGGTCAAAGATATATTACCCAGAGGGCCACGCTGTAGGTATATTAACATGATGGATATGTGGGAGAGAGGAGGGGGGCAGGGATACGAAGGCTATAGAGCGCTACTGATTCAGATTTACCCCCTATTGGGCCCCGTCCGCCGCCTTTCTCTCTTCTACCTCCCTCGTATGGGCCCCACTTAATCAGCCTTCCTCATTCTACTCTTGCTCCTTCCCCCTTCAGAGACACTAGGTTCCTACCTGTCTTTACCATTTGTCCGCTCTAAGACCTCACCCCTGCCTTTTTCATTCACTCCGTCCTCTTCCCATTTCGGCAAAGCAGTCCATCAATCTCTGTGGTCAGTGTGAGAGCAGGATTAAGCAAAGAGGGGTCTGATCATATTGGGCCACTGAGGTGCTTCACCCATGATTAATACATAAACAAGAACGTGGAAAGAGCAAGGACAGAAATACAGCATTTTTTAGCATCGATTTAGAGATATTCATATGTTTATATTTCTATGAACAATGTGATAAATAAAACAGCTATACAGTACATCTACAGACCCATCCCATTATCTGTACTTAACCATGTTGAAAGCACCATGCTTGAGTGTCTCAACAAGTAGCAGAATACAAGTGCCATGCCAGTCGAGATAAATCCTGTGTAGCTTACTCCATTGCACATACAGCTTATTAACTTATCTCTGCTTTATTTGATTACCATCTAGCCCATTCTCTCAACTGGTTAATAAGTCTATGTCCTCCTGACTAAACACTCCATTAGTGTCATCACTGGCTAGCTTGTGTGTGCACTGTGTTCGTCTGTGGACCACTGAAGCAGATACACACTGGGGGCCAAGTGACAGAGTAAACACACAGGCAGAACACAGGGGAGAAAAACAACCTGTAAGACAAACAATAGGTACACAGGTGACCAGTTTCATTATGATCGCAATAGCCAAGACCCTCTGCCTCATGGACGTTTGGATAAAGATGTGGTTTAAGATTTTTGTATGAACAAGCAATTAAATTTTAACAACGCAGTCTTTGAGATTGACTTTGAGAAACATTTTTGGATAGGGAAGGAACTGGAAGGAAGGAACTGGGTAAAACTCCCATAATTTCAGTGTTTCTATGTCTGAATGGAGATGAAACGGTAGTGCTTTAATCATCAGTCCAAAAGATTAACAGCAATATAATATAATATATAATGTAAGGGATAATGCCCGACGAGGTGTCCATTAGTGTCCATTAGTCGAGACAACCGCCTGTGTGTCATTATCCAACTTATACCATGGTCACTGCCAAAGGAGAAAAAAAAAAAGATTATTATTATTTATTTTTTTAAGTTTCTGTTTCCCTGGTAACACCTGAGGTAATACCTGTACAAATTATTACCATCCCATAAGGTTCTAATGCAATGGAAACGTTGTTCTCTCCTCCGGTAAATATGACAAACCATAGATATGATTTGGCAACAGGAGATATTTCTAGCTCATAGAGCACTTTGGCACAGCTACAAGACGTTATACTTGCAACATTCAAAGTCAATAAAACTGCTTACGGTCGAGAAACGGTAAATATAATTTGACAGTATGTTCAACAACAAAAGCAGCTAGCTATCCAGCCATGTCACTGTCCCCAAATAACATCAAGACTTTCACGAACAATAGGGCATGTGTACTTGCGGCCTGAAGTAGCGGGCTGAATAGCGGACGGGATGCGGGAGGATAGCTTCCTCCCAGTATCAGTAAGTTCAGAGGGGCAGTGTAGGGGTTTGATCACTACACTCAATGTTGTGATATATTTATGAGACATACAGATTTTGTTTTCATTCAATGCATTCATTTAGAATGGTAAACAGACAGTTTCACTGAAACTACTTACTAGGTGTCCTAAATCAGGAATTAATGGACACCCAGCAGCCAATCAGAATCGAGTATTCACCCAGACCATGGTATAATATATTATGTATTATAGTAATAACTGGTAGCCATAGCAAAAACCTAACATAGGGGTATTACATCGTCCGGCAGACACCTGTGTGTATATGAGGACATTGTTAAAGAAAATTTTGAAAAGACAGAAAAGAAAACAACAGAACAAGCAGCTCCTTCCACTCACCAACTCTATAATGTAGAAATGTACGGGTGCACACACATCAATGCTCTCTGTTCCACTCTCTCTCACTCAGACACATGCCCACATATACACACACACTCTGTTCCTCTGTGTGCCTGTGTCTGGTAGGGTGCCATGATTAACAGTGACCTAAAGCCAGACACTGAGGTAGTGGGAGTGGGGGGTCAAAGGTGAAAGGATTACAGTGAGGCAACCCATGTCAACTGCTCTGCTTTAATCCTGACCTCCAAGCTAACCCGAGACTCTTTAAAAATGATTCACATGTATGAGCGCAACATATTGCGTGTTCATCGTCGCATCACTCAGAGAATTACTGTGTGAGGATTGTGTGGCTATTTTAACTGAAAAAGAACTTTCAAATACTTGAAATGTAGCTTATAAAGCAGCATGGATTTGGTTATAGAGATACAGTGGATGAGGGTAGTTCTAATAGCCAGACAGAAGAAAAGACAGAGCAGACCTCCTTATGTCACACAGCTAATGACAGGGATGAATTGCCTTTAAAGCCCCTACACCCACCTCATTCTGGCCCGCGCATAAGCTTGTGCTCTGGGTGAGCAGTTAGCCATCAAGCCCCTTGCTGAGATGAGATGGGCCCCCAAGAAGATTTGGGAGGGGGGAGATGGAGAGAATCAGATTAACCAAAATGCCTCAATTGGAGTAAATGCTCTTGGCTGACCTCAGTGTAATACCATTGATAAATGCTGTAAACCAAATCTTTAGCATCTGATTAGATAATGGAGGAAAACACATCCTTTTAGCAACCATTAGCTGTGGCGAAACAGCCCAAACCTTCAACCTAAGGGTTGTATGTGAATGTATCAAAACACAAACAAGTTTGTTCAAAGCAGCAGGGAATTTTACAAATACTCCAGTTGCCATTATAGAAATAAATAAATAGGGAAATAATAAATCGCCAGAAGCTGTGGACAGGTGGCATTTCAGCCTGCACCGTTTAGCTGTGCAGTCTGGTTTCTGACAGCTTGATTTAGTTTCCTGCACCTGAGCCAGAAAAGAGAGAAAATTAACGGCAGGAAAAACAGCTTAACTAGATTCCAATTTGCCTGCTTTGAAACACAATTGATGAAGCTAATGTATATAGAAAACACAGAATGGACTATATGGTAGCCGTCCCAAGCTTATTGTGATCATGCAAACTGCGCACTCATTTAGGGTCAGGTACATGGGGAAGGTGATTTGATTTATTCTGATTCTGCCATCTGAGCCTGGGTCTGTTTTGAGGGGGAAGGGGGTGGGGCGTTAGGGTTTGTCTTTAGGGTGTAGAAGGGAGATTAAAGTGGCTCGAAGGGAGATGCTAGGAAACATGCTGTTGTCCCTGCTGTGAACAGGGTGTAATCCTTCAGTTTCAGAGAAGTAAAAGTTTGTCGAGTCCAGAAAGTTACAAATACGTCCCTTCTGGGCCCCCTACGGAGCAGAGAGTGCGAGACAGCAGGGGGTAACCATATGCTATCAAAGTGTTCTTCAAAGCTCCCATCTTTAGTCCACTAAATTATCCAGTATCATCAAATACACCTGACAAAAATAGAAGAAACATAAGTATGCAGCTCAACTTACATACCTTAAAAATATGTTTTAAGCAATGTGTTGCCTTTGAAAGTGAGGGGACTTTTTTTTTTTACTGGAATGACTTTGTTTAAACAGTAGCCATGTCCCAGTGGTGTGGGTCAGCTCATGATTTTGTATTTACATGCGTTTAAAATACTGCTGCTGGTGGGCAATTAAAAATTTATGATTCTTATCACAATGAGCCCCTTCTCTGTTACCAGAGGTTAATTTGTGCTCGCCCCTCATTTCAATTGTACTGTAGTAAATGTCCACATTATTTCCCACATGGGCCTGGATGAGGGGTTTGATTATCCAAAGGTAGGCCTTGGTTGGCTCTGTTATTGTCAGAGGGGTCGTAAGCCTCGGTAACGGCTTCTAGGGTCTTATTGCTATGGCGATCAGCCTCTTGCCACTTGGCCTCTGTGACCCCAGTCAGAGATAAGCTTTATGGGAAAGCACATTAACATGCTACTGCAGTCACCCTGCTCCTTTATCAAAGGCACTTCTGTGAAATCAAGTGTTTATGGACCCCCAGTGAGGGTATAGGGCTGCTGATTGCCTATATTAGAGGTTGCGTGTAAATGAGGTAGAGGTGGACACTGGACCTGCAGTAGTCGGGATGTGATACTGATGTTATTTTCACTAAATGAGCAATTTTGACGTTTGACTTTAACGACTGCAACGCCCCATGAGTAGGTCACAAGCCCCTGGATTACAAATATTGTCTGCAGTCTAAATATATCCATGTCTTCCATTCTTTCTACAAAAACTGACATGACCATAACCATAAGAGAAGTACAGTGTGCATATAGATGTGTTTTAACATTATATTTTGAAGTTATTCATTCTAGTAGCTGTAGGTAACAACTTTTACTATTACCGTTTTCTCCTTTGTGTTACATTGGTCCTGTTAAATTGTCCAATTAGTGGACTCTTGCACATGTGTTGCGTTGATATGGGCATTTTCCTGTGGCTATGAGCGACACCAAGATCAAAATAAATAAATAAATACGTAGGTGTCAGTAGTGTGTGCCTGCTTACAGCCTGATCACTGGTGAAAGATCTTTTCACTATGTCTGTAATGATGGATGGTGATAGCCCTGTGTCTTTGTACACATCAGGGGGCCCTACTGTTGTCACTGGACAGATAGAGGGAGTGAGAAAGAGAAAGATGTAGCCGCAGCTTAATGTCCTTCTCTGGTGCTGTGCATGCTCTTTCCTATTTGCTTTTCCCTTCACGGCACGGTTAACATCGTAAATTAACCTTTCCAGGCCCCCTGTGCTCAGACACTGGTGTGAAATACAGACAAAGGGAAAAAAAATAGATCTGTATTATGCAATGCAGTAGCACCGGTCGGAGACGTAGCCTGTTACAGGATTGAGCTATTCCTTTTTCAGCGATAGGGAATAAAACAACACACTTTGTCCAGTCAAGCAAACATTCTATTTTATGTGCATGTCCTGTGTACTCTGCAAATCAGTATGAGGCTGCTTTTTGTTCTCCATCCTAGAAATGTAAATGAAACACATGAAAGAAAATGTATTGTAGATGCTTCTCTTCTTAGTTCGACTCTGTAAATATGATGTAAATACCAAACAGCTATGCATGCTAATATACAAGCAATTTGTTCAGGTACTTTTGTAATCCAGACTTCTCATATGGCATGTAATGACAAAAAAAAAATCAAACATGAAAAACATAACAAATTGTGAACACGGATATGGTTTGTAAACGACTTCAAAACTGGAAAATATATGTCTTTGCTGTTAATGTTTTCTTACTGATAACTAATGCATTGGCCTGCCATTTACTACAGTGCTCTGCTCATGTTACTTGTTATCTTTTTTATGTTTCATAAGGTAGGGCTGAGGCAAAAAGGACCATAAATCCCTGGTTTGTGGAATAGTCGGGTTAGAGAATAACATGAAGGGAAGGATGGCAGTCTGACCACGCTCTTTGTCGTTTTTTCATTGCCTCTGCACGTTCACATGCATACACTTAACAATTAATTACATATCCTTAGTGTCTAACACAGCCAATAAAATGCCATGGCAAAACTGTTGCTAAAAGCAGTAGAAACTGGGCTGCCATTTGAGTTATCACACCAAAAAGACGAATCACCAGCTTTAAAGTGTGCTGTTATTTTAAAATGGCATACATTTGTGTCTGATAAATGAATGCAAAACCATTAAACAACCTATGAAGCTGGTATAACAAGCAATTTTGACTCATTCCAAATTCTCCAAATCATGATTTGCAAGGGAAAGAGATTTTGAAAACTTTGACAGTTTTTTTTCTAATACTATGTCCGGTGAAAACAATGATTGTCTATATGCCAAATTTGCCTCTGCCCTAGCAACTCTAATGTGACATTTTATGAAGATAGAGATGGAGGAAGTAGGGAGAAATCTTTTTGGTTTCTAAGAGTGTTTATTTTCAACCATGTTAGAACCATGTTAAACCCCAAGGCGCTCATGGTAGATGGAAGTGTCTAATTTTTAACCTGTGCTAAAGATATTTTAAATTTAATAAATAATTATTGTAACAAGAAACCATATTGTGTCATGTTCTTAACTATCCTCTTAACTGGTGCATTTTTCCCATGATGGTATTGTACATATGTGAAGAATAAAATTAATGAAGACAGACGGCCAAAGAGAAACCGAAGAGAATGAAAGGGTTTCGTTATAAAAGGGCTTTAGGGGCATATTAGTCCTGGTAAAGTGCTCTCTTCTATATGGGAATTTTAGAGCTGGGTCTTTTAACTCATTATATCCATGATGAAATACAAAGAAGTCTCAGTCTCAGAACCAATGACCTTCGACCCCTGGCTCCCACTTGTGTAAGATGTAGCAGAGAGGTTAAGTTTCCCTTCACCTTGGCCTTATAGCTCACTTTTTGCTGTTCAACCACCAAATGTAACAGCACACTGCAGATTATCTACCAGATACCAATACTTTTTGTGATATTGCTGAAGCATTTTGTGGTTTATCAACGAGATTACTCCTTGCCTGCAACTAAAGGCACGGCTAATAGTTTTGTGAAGGTTATCAGACTCAGTCTTCAATTAATTAAAATCCACTCACACTCACAGAGCGAGGCGAGACGTGGCCGTTTGTGTTTTGTAGGTTTCAACAAAAAACACAAAGAGGACACATTCAATTAGTTATTTCATTATCGCCCTAGGTGTAATCAATTGACAATGCCGATAACAAAGCCACATCAATTTGTGAGCCGACTCCAGCACATTTCTCTAAATGATTGAAGAGCCCTCCTATGCTAGGCCCTCATGAGGTCTCGTCTGCTCTGGCATTTCATCAGAAACCCACATAATGAACCATATCATCATGTATGATAATCTTTTATGTCTTCGGTTTTCGAAAGTTGTTTGAGTCACTGATTGTGGCCGCATATTGCACATGCAGACTCAGTCCTTTGTGGGAGCAAGGTTCTGTCTTTTTCTTTGCCCCCTCCCCTTTCCCCTTGAGTGATATATGGCAAAGAAAGAAAGAGGCACTCGCTTTCTCTCTGTCATTCCCCTCTCTCCCCTCCTGTAGCGTAGATAAACAATGCGAGTGACAGTCTCTCATCACTCAAGAGGCTGAATCTCTGGCCCTGACCCGATAACATCAAGTGTGTGTGTCACCTGTCAAGTGGCTTCTGTCACACTTCAATGGGAACTCAAAAACAAGACTTCCTATGTGTGTGTGTGTGTGTGTGTGTGTGTGTGTGTGTGTGTGTGTGTGTGTGTGTGTGTGTGTGTGTGCATGAGAAGTTGACTGGGGGATGGTGCTGTGGGTTTAAGAGTGCCTGTTGGCATGCAAGCAGAGGCCTCTCTAGGCATGAGTGGAGTTGAGAGTGAGTGGCAAAGGGGGTGGGGGGCGCTTGTGAAGGTATACTAGGACACTGAGAAAGAAAGAGGGGGAGGCGTAACGACCCAAATGAGAAGGACTTGTGCAGACACTGTGAAACTATCTCATTTTGTAGGCTCCGCTAGTCTCATTCTCATGTTCAGAATGGGCAGGGTGATCTGGGAACGCAATTATTTTCACCTATAAAAGGCAACATATGCCAAGATCATAAAAGTTCTTATTGGACAGTAATTTATTAAAGCAAGTCATAGAAATGGAGAGAGGTAGGGCACAAGCTATAATATGAAGGTGTCGTTCTGCTTCTCATTAAGGGCCTGAGTGTCAGTGAAATTCAATACCCCAGGTGCCCGACAGAGGATGGATAGATGAGCTAAACAGAAGATGTTCTCTCTTTATAAGATCCTGGGGAAATAGGAACATTTACTGCGGCCACATCATGTTGAAGTCCCATTCTTGACTCATTTTCTGTGTTTTCACTGTAAACCTATATATGTTTAAGTATGTAATTAAGCTCACTTGTATCTCATTTTACAGGCAGACCAACTATATATCAGGCATCCATGGTATATTTTCTTTTTTACAAAACATTCAGTTGGTACAGCTTTTCAAAGGTAGGTACCTACTGTCGAGCTTTGAGACTAACAATGATCTACACCCTCCAAGCAACACAGCTGCCACTAAGCAGACCTGGCATCCTCTTAAATGGATGAATGATCTGAGACAGTGTGTTTGTTCCTATATTGTAAATGTTTAAATCATTGTTGAGCTCTGAATGAGCAATAATAAACCATCATTGTGATCCTCACAATACTGAATGATGTGGATTAGCCAATGGGGAGCAGATTGTATTGAGGAACTTATCAGCATCTTCTCATTATCTAATACACAAAGTGCAGGGAGAGATGATTACGTCTGTGGCACATTTTACCCAGAACAATGGGAGCGTGTGTACCTCTGTTCATTTGTTGCTCAAAATGAACGAGGCGGATATATACTATTGTCTGACGTTATTGTAATGGTAAAATTCAGTTTTTGTTAATGTAAATGATTGTAAATGACTCTTCTTTCAGACAAGAGCGAGGTTTTTGTATCCTTTACCGAGATAAATACCATCACAAATGAGGCTGGACAAAACAAAAGCAGAACAGAGAAAAACAGGCAATTGTGATAGAGGGAGGGAGCGTTTTGTGTACGCCTATTGTGTAATGCCTGGCAATGTGCAGGCATGTTTGTTGTCGTCTTTCACACTGACAACCACCTTCTGACAACAGTCACACTCAACACAAACGGAAACACACACACTATAATGTGTGACTATAATGTTGCAGACTTGGAAATAAGAAAACAAAATACATAAATAAATATGTATAAAGCTGTATGGTGCAAAATTGCATAAAAGTTATATCTTTAAATAATAATAATCATATTTTATACTACATAGATATTTTAAATCATCATCACTGTTATTTTACCAATTCATAAACATCTTCTTTTCTCCCTTCCTTCATTCCTTCCTTTCTTGTTTATCCATCTTTCAAGAGTGTTGAAGAAAATTCAAAATTGCAAAGCATATAAAATCAACTTTCAATAAAAATACAGTAGTCTTAAATTACTATAAAGAATCCCATGTTAGCTGAGGTCACGATCCGCACTGCAACTTTCTACTCTTTAACTTGTTATGACTCTTTCAGCAGAGTTTGTGCTATCATGAACCATCCCATCAGTACAAATCACACGGTTAGGCCAAAGTCTGAATGTGATATTGACATGATGTTAAAAGACGTTTCCTTTTGGTTACTTCTAACTCTATATTTTCCCATAACCTCTGTGTTCTGTTCAATCGCGTATTGATGTAAACTTGGTCAAGGTTGTACAGGCCAGCTGGTCAGCCTGTCGAACATGTCCAGATCATGTCTGCTGAACTGTCCAGAGAACAGAGAAAGCTCTAATCCCTTGTTTGCATTGGAATCAATGTCATATTGATCCCCAGCTAATTATATAATTATAATAGTAATAATATCAGATGGAATTGATTTTTAGATACTCATTTGTTATATAAAGTAGTGCAGTTTTCCTTGTGGAGGAGCTCTCATTCAAAGGTAAACACACACAGTCTCCTTGTCATTGATCCCACTTTCATCTTGTCGCTGTCTTTCTGATGTACAGGTAATATATGCAAATTTGCAAAGACCAAATGAAGGAGGCAATTTAAAGTCCAGCAATGAACTTCATTAGTCACAGGCATGCACACTTGAACATATAGATGCACATGCGCGCATACACACCTTCTCTCACTCCGAGGTACTCATATACGGACACACGCATGCACATATTCACACATGCATACAGCCCCTTGGACATGTCTCATTAAATTCAGGTGAGCAGATTAATTAAAATGATATTTAAATCCCTCGGGACTGTAATCTGCACTACTGGCATGTATGTCTCACACACACACACACACACACACACACACACACACACACACACACACACACACACACACACACACACACATATATACAGGTATGGCAGCAAACATTGCATAGGAATGGATGGTGGTGGGAAGATGTATAATATGCAAGTAAGCAGAAACATTTTTGTGACCTGTATGAACAAGCAAGGACATCTATGGGGCTACCTGGTTTTTGATCACATGTCCATAGCAGTGTCTTGAATGTCAGCAACAGCGGGAAAAATCACACATTGAAGTGAAAGTGAAGCTGAAATTTAAATTCTCAATTTTGAAGAGCTTCTCAGTACCAAGCCTTTTATACTTAGCTGACTTGACCTTGTGCGTCCCCTCCTCAAACCAACCCCCATCCACTCAGCCTGCTCATCCACAGCACTGACCTTAACTGCAGCTGTAATTGGTGGACCAGATGTACGCTTTGTTAGCCTTCTGTAAATTCTGTAATAACTTCACTGATTGCCTTGTCGTATTTTGTATGGCTCTGCTATGTTACACTAAAGATAAATCAGAAAGGGGAGAGGAGAAAGCGCTCATAATATCACTGTGTAAATGACTAAAGGAAACGATACCAACAGAGCGCTGAATGTGGAGATGCTATCAAACTAGAGGTAAAAAAAAAAAATGCATGTCATGATGATAATTATTTACATTTTTTGTATTTCTATTAAAACCACTTAAATCTACATCAGTGAATGCTGACACTTTGAGCTCCTGAACAGTGAATCAGATATCAGGAGATCGCTGACATGAACTCTGAACTACTGAAGTAGTCTCTGTATTCTAGTTCTCATGGGATGTTAATATATATGATATCAAGAGAAGGTCACCGCATACTCAACACAGAGAACATAGGTGTTACGTAGGAGGGATGTTTCACATAATGCTTGCCTTCTTTCCCACCAATCAAATCAAGATAAGAAGGAAACCGAAAAATGAGAGCTGATTTGGTACATGTCTATAATCAAAAGGGAAATGATGACAGAAAGTGTCAGGTATACATAAAATGTATTTCCTTCTTTATCAAGTTATTTTGTTTTTTGCATTCCTCGTTTCTGTCACTGCTTGTGCAGCCACATTCAGTACTGCATTTTGTATTTTCTAAGCATATTGTGCGGTGTAAATATTCTCAGTCTTCCTTCATAACTCAGAGAAAGGTTCGGAGTGGACATGAAGAAAGAAAGATGAATTGAGAATTTTTTAAAAATGT